GTATGAGTATATTGCCTGCATGTGTATAAGTGCACCTGTGTCATGAAATGCCCATGGAGATCAGAAGAGGGCACTGGATCCCCTGGAACTGGAACAACAGACAGATGTTAGCTGCCATGTGAGTGCTGGGAATCAAACTCGAGTCTTCTGTAAGAGCAGTCAGTGCTCTTAACCACTGAGCCATCCTTCAGTCCTGCTTTTTATGTTTTTATTTAGTTCAGGCCCCCAGCCCATGAAATAGTGTACCCACATTAATGGCAGGTCTTCCCTCCTCAATCAATCCTTTCAGAGAAAGCCTTCACAGACACACCCAAAAGTGTGTCTTCTAGGTGTTTACGAACACAATCAAGTTCATAATCAAAACTGATCATCACTCAAACTAAAAGAACATACTCTCATACACATATTATGAAAAGTGGGTCTCAGTCCATCCTTTAAAAGTGATACATCAAGGAAAAGATAAGTTTGATAGCCCTTAACTGGATTTATGTATTTTTCATTTCTTTCTCAGGGTTTCAACATTATGGGGGAAAACTTTGCTTATCAGGCACAGATACATATTTCTCTTCCTAGGACAAATGTTTTCTTTGCTTCTTTATACCTCACTTGTCAAGCTCCACCTCATTCATACATCTTCTTCATCATACTTTATCCTCCCCAAGTAAGGATACGTGCTGGCACTTATATCCATACTAGCTGTGGAGCCTCTAAACTGGCACACAGGATGACTTGCCAGTGTGAACATTCAGGCAAGCATGGACTCATGGTTTCTTTCCTCTGCATCTTAGGTAAGGACAGCCTAGTTTCTTTCTTTTGGATTCCTAAATACCTCCTGCTAGGCAAGGTAAAGACAGAGGACTTTGAATAGCTCAAAGCAGTGCTTCCCCAAAAGTGCACAGCTCTATGGCTGTGCTTTGAGGTCCTAGGGGTAGAATGATCTAAACTTGGCTTGCAAAGGAGCCAGGAATGTCTGTGCTAAACTCCTTAAGGGTCTCCAGAGAAGGCCAGATGAGTTGAACAGGCATCTCAAGGATTCTTGGAAAGGATCCTCCCTAAGGTATTGTGTAACCTGAACTAAGGAATTCTGTGACAGAACCCTGGAATATCACAGCCTTGGGGTCTAACTGCCACTCACAGTGGCCAACTGTATGACCTTGAATACTTTCTCTCCCATGCTGCACTTAAGTTTCATCAACTATAAAATCCCTCATTGGAATTTGATATTCTCACACTACAGGAAGGAGAACTGTAGTCATTCTCTGAGAGCATGGAACTTGTTTCACGCCTCAGAGTGTACATTGGTGACCATCACATTGTCTTTTTTTTTTTTTTACTGTGTTTGATTTAAGAAATTGTTTTTTAAGATATATTCTCAGTAGGCAAAATATATAAAAGCTTTAACTGTAAATCTGTTTTCTTTTAGTTATGGAAATGGTATGATTTTATAAAATTACGAAGTTTTACAAAATCTTTATTCTTCTGCATAGGAGATATGACTATCTCTTACCATAGTGATGATATTTAGAGAACACAAAAAATTACCTGTCGTGAGTGTCACCTTTTGGGGGTTTACCAGCACCAGGTTGTTTTGCTTTGCTTTGTTTTTGAGAAGTCCATGAATTGGGCAGTTATCTCAAGGGCTCTGTATGCTGGCATGTCTTCAGTTCTTTCTTTGACTATGGCTGTGCATACACCAAGCCTGCTCATGGGCTTATTCATAGAGCATGCAGCTAACATAAATGGGTCCTCAGGTATCAAATCTCCGTACTTAGATGCTAAAAGTATTCTTGGCTTTATAAGTTCAGATTTAAAGGAAGAGGGTACATAAATCAGCTACATCTCTTCAGGATGGAGATGGGAATATTTTTGGCAAGAACAACATAAGGCAGCACTGTGCTCATAATTTCTATGATCGTAGAATCTACCATGTTCGAAGGACCACCATACTATAGCTTGGGAAAGCATGCATGGGGAGGGAGACAAAAACCATAGGGGCAATATGGTCAATGTGTGAACATTGTCATTTCATTTGATAACAACACAACCATTCACTATAAAATCACAAGTGGACACACCTATCTAGAAGTATTACAGATAGTTAAATGAGTAAAAATTGATACATTATAGTCTGAAAATCAGAAGAGTTCAGCTCTTTATGTCATGTACATAAAATTTAATATAGTGAACTTCTGTTTAACCTTAATAGTAGAGACAGTGAGTATAATGCCAACAAATTTTATCATCTTAGTATTTCTAAATCCTCAAACTAACTCATTTTAGAATTCAGTGTATGATTTAATGAGAAAAGAGGGCTTTTTTTCTATGTGTGTTTGGTTTAAGCTAATATTTAATAAATTTTATTCTCTGAAAGAATTCAGAAGTAAGATAAGTCTGTTGAGTGATGAATTCAAATAAATAAATAGGTCTTTGAAATGTATTTCCAAGGGAATAAAGAGAGCATAAAAATAAACTTTGCTCCCAAAATTTGGAAACATCGCTCAGCCTTATAAATGTCCTGTTCTGGAATTAAATGTGAAGAAAGAGACAGGTCCACTCTGCATTTCTGTATACTCGGGAGAGTAAAAGATTGGGAGCAGACTGGGAGTCACTATTCCATAGCCCAGAGTCATGCTGCCTGGGCACACGCGTGGGAAGATGGTTACTTGACAGTGGGGATGCTTTGATTCTGTGGAGTCCAGAACCCTGTGTCCATCCTCTGACTGGAGATCATTTCCACTTCCTTTATGAAGCTGCTGTGAAAGTGCATGGCCTTGTTTGTACTGACCTGCTCTTAGGAACACAATGCATGATGCAACACCAAGAAGAACAGGAAAATAATTCACGTAAAGAACACTGCGAGGGGAAGATGGTGAATTTGACAGGTACATAAGCAAAATACAAGTTTTTCTCTGTCCAGGAATACCACATTTATTAGTCCTTTATGCCATTGTTGGTGATGGCTGTTTGCTATTCATATGGTTGAAAGCACATCTTCCACATATTATTTGGTTGATCCTACAACCATTCCAACAAGGCTTCACAAACATTACTTTTGTTCTCATAAAGTCGTATCCAGAGCAATACAGATGACACAGCCAGAGCTGAAGCTCAGATCTTAGTTCAAAATTCCAAACACTAAACAAGAGACAAGTTGGCAAGTGAGATTAGTCTTTAGTGAAGTGTGTGGTGTCACTGGAACTTGGATCAACCTCTTCTTCATAAGTGTCCAGCCTCTATCATTGACCTGCCTGATTTTATTCATACTGGGGAGTAGAGATATGCTGGTACATTCCCCAAGCTCACCTTCATTTAAAAAGAGAAGCAAATATTTATCCCTAGAATCATGACTAGGGAAAGGTTCAGACATTATGGCCAGGATCTTTCCCCCGACTATACCAGAGAGGGCACCTTATAAATCAGTCTGATTGGGAAAGAAACTCCTCATTTCTGAGAGTTAGTGGGAATGAAAAACTGAGGTGTTGTGTCTACTTTCAAGGGTTCCATGCTCCACAAGCATGAAGACATGAGAAGGAAGAAAAGAGCTTGAAGGGAAGCCTTGCTGGTTCGGTCCAGATTTACTGAGCAGTGGAACAGCAGCATCCTTGAACTTGCACCTCTACCTTGCCCACATGCTTTTAAAAGTCCTGTCTGACCTTCCCTCTCCCTCTCCTCCTTTTCCCCTAGAGTGAATAGACCATGAAGCCAAGGGGACTTCTCCAGGCTTCTCCTCTCCAGACTTGTCTATAGAATTCAGAACCACCAAATTCTCTATTCAAATGGCATCCAGGGTCCATGCAGCTTCTCCCCCAAGTCCATCTTCCAGAGAAGCACCACTATCTATGTTCAGAGACATAGGCTTAAGAGATGGCCATAGGTTAGTGTGGGACGGTCAGAATCTGGCCATGGATCCTGGGGTGTCCATATGCAGGCATGTGAGGCTCCTCCCAGTGGGAATCAGATCCTGGGATGAGAAGAAGGGTTTCATAGCTGGGAACCTCTTCTGTGTTCTTGCTCCAGGCTTGTTAATGTCAGAAGTGATCTGAAATGTAAAAGTACTGTTAGAGATGAGCCAGCCCTGTGTGGGGGGAGCATCTAGAAGGGCTTAGGCACCCACACTGAAGCACAGGCAGAAGAGTCCTAGGTGCCTTGTCTAGCTTCTTTCTGGATGCCCTGCTTCCACTCTCCATACCGCAGCACCACATTTCTTTGCTGTAATCCGTATTTCATTTTGTCAACTAAATGCTGTCAACTAATCAGTTTTTGACTTGTGTCTGCTCTTGGTGAAAATCAGGTGTTTAGTCATGATTGTTGATCACTAATGACAGCAGCATCTCTAGCATTTATTTCAGAAATCCCAGGCCTCAGTGCTTCTCAGTGCCCCAGTGGTTGTCTCTTCCCCCTCCCCTCTGCAGAAAACCAAGTTCACTGTTCATGTGTGTCCTGTTTACTCATTTCAGCCTGATGCAGTCCACCTCCTCAGTGGCAGGCATCCCCGTGGTCCTAAGGTCGAGGTCAGCACTGGCCTTGCTCCCACTTGGCGAGGTCCTCCAGTGCCGCCGCAGGATTCTCTTGAGGTACTTGCCGGTGTTGTTCCTAACGCTTACAAAGCACAGCGTGTTGATCATGCTGTTGCTCATGGCGATGCACTCCACCACGTAGAAGGCGGTGAGGTAGTGCTTCTCCTTCACGAACACGGAGGGGAAGAAGTCGCGCACGATAGTGAAGCCGTAGAAGGGCGCCCAGCACAGCACGTAGGCCGAGAGCACACACAGCAGTCCCAGCACTGTCCTGCGGCGGCAGCGCAGCCTCCGGCGGATCTGGTCTGTCTGGAAGCCGGGCACAGCCTTGAACCAGAGCTCCCGGGACACCCTGGCGTAGCACAGGGTCATGGCGACCACCGGGCCCACGAACTCAAGGCCGAAGACCAAGAGGAAGTAGGACTTGTAGTAGAGCTGCTGGTCCACAGGCCAGATCTGGCCACAGAATATCTTCTCCTGGCTGTCCACGACGACCAGCACCGTCTCGGTGGTGAAGTAGGCCGCAGGGATGGCGATGAGGATGGACACGGCCCACACCAAGAAGATCAGGCCTGCGGCTGTTTGACATTTCATCCGAGGCCTCAGAGGATGCACGATGGCCAGGTATCTGAGCAAGAACACAAAAGGAGTCAGGCATACAAGGAGCCAGCGCTGGTGAGAATTTCATTTGGGAGACGTTACAACAATGCTAGCTGCTACCCGAAGGAGACGCCTGGGCGAGTGAGTGCTCTGGTCGTAAATGTCAGCTCTATGTCTAACTAGCTGTTCAGGGTATAACCTCTCCCAATCTTAGCTTCCTCAGGTGCCTAAGTATTTGGCTGGTTTAAAGATTAAATGAGATAATGTATGCACTATTCCCGAATAAGTTTTAAATCTGATATATGCTGTAAAAATGGCCAAAAGTAATTTTAAATGTATTAGTAATACTTCCATTGGCCCCTGGGTTGGCACTACTCATTTATCCTAATACTTGCAAATGTTCAAAGTTAAGTAATCCCGACACCCAAAGCATTGAAGGGAAAAGTCGTCCTTTCCAACCAGAGTATCCCTTAAAGCTTGTCTGCATCCCACTTTTTAGAAAGCATTGCTATGCATGTAGAGGTGGAGAAAGAGTGTGTTATTTACCTCATTTCCCCTTGGAGAGATGCAGGCTGGTGAAAGATGAACAATTTTCTCCAGGTTATATGCCATAAGACCCTTGATAGAAAACATTTAAACCCTACCTCACAGGGTTCATGTGAAAATCAACTAGAGTATACACAAATGTTCATTTTTAAAACCACAAAGTATCAGGCAGTAAAAGATGCTGCTGTGATTCATTCCTAAAGAACCCACACTGTGTTACCACAGTGGCCCAGGAAGCAGAGAACACTTTGCAGGACTGTGAGTCACAGGTGTGCTGTGATGGCGCCCTTCCCAGAGTACACGCTTGTGAAGAGTTCTGGCTTCCGGGAAGGCTTTCCATTGCTGGCAGGGGGTGGAAGCAGCAGCAGAAAAAAGATAGGAGGTAAAGTGGAAGGACTGACCAACACTGGAAGCAAGCACTGTTCTGTGTCCACAGCTGATCCTAGGCAGAGGCCACACAGTGTGATAGGGACCTGAAGGAAAGCCAGACCAGTTCTACTCCCTCTAAAAACAATCCCTTGGGGTCGTATTTCTTGGGGTTTTGATATGAAGAAAGGTCCATTCTTATATTTTTTCTGAATATATTTCACAAGCAATCATACCCACTGGGTAAATTTGGAGGGATCATTAAAGCGAGAACACCCCCTCGCTTTCTTTCACCTTCCAAGTGTCTGAAGAAGCAGAATGAGTTATGTCCGGCCTCTGAACACCCCAGCTGGCTGTTGGCCCGGCTACCAGTATGCATCCCTGGTACTCCAAGCAACTCCTTAGTGCAGAAAAATGAAATAGGAATATGTGCAGTGTTGTCTATGCACATGTACTGGCCCTTCATAAAAGCCACAGTGTGGGCTGAGGTATGCCTCAGTGGTAGAGCACTTATTTAGCATGCAGAAGGCTCTAGGTTCAATTATCACCCCCCAACATGACACACCATGTCTTAGTTACTTTTCCAGTTGGTATGATTAAAATATTCTGACAAAAGCAACTTAAGGAAGGAAGGAAGGGAGGGAGGGAGGAAGGAAGGAAGGAAGGAAGGAAGGAAGGAAGGAAGGAAGGAAGGAAGGAAGGTTTATTTGGCTCATAGTTTGAGGTTACAGTCCATCATGATTGGAAATTCAAGGGAGTAGAAGCTGGAAGCAGCTGATCACATCATATCCACTATCAGGAAACACAGAGCAACAAACACTAGTGTTCAACTCCATTTAACCATTTTATGCAGTCCAGGATCCTTGCCCAGGAAATGGTCACTCCCACAGTGAATATGACTCTTCCCACATCAATACATCCAATCAAGATTATCCCTCGCAGATGTGCCTGGAGGCTTCCTTATCTCTTGGGTGATTCTAGATCCTGTCAAGTTGACAATTAGCACTGTCCACCCCCACCCCTACCCGCATGATGTTCCTGATGTTTTTTAGTGCACCCCGTGTGCGCTGATTCTTTGAACATTACACAGTGTAGAGCTTTCACTCTCACTGGCCCCTCTGCTGTTTATCCCACAGTGTTCGCTTGTTTACCCTGTCAAAGGAAATATCATCTTCACATTTGTTCTCTGTAGTAAATGTCACTGTATCATTCTCCTTCTCTTCACAATCATCAGATTCTAAGTCTTTGTGAAGTTTCAAACTTGCAGTGTCAGGGAATTAGCAGGAGAGCATTCACCTAGAACTCTGAAGACCATGAACTGAGTTCCAGTTTAGTTACAAACTTGCTATGTGAATTTGAGTTGTTTTCTTAGCCCTATTTGTTTAATTTCCTCATCTATAAAATGGAAAAACACCTCTATGCTGTAAGACTCCATTGAACTACTTCATATAAACAGCAACAAGATATTAGCATACATCTCAAAATGTGCTTTTTAAGAGTTATTCTGTATACATAGCAATGTTCTAGGCATCGCAAGCCCTCTTCTATTTGCTGTTTAATTGAGTCCAACTCTTCATATCAAGGTTACTTCATCCTGACTCTCCCTGATATTACCTCAACTCCATCTCCATGGTCAATAACACGAGGTCTTCCTGATACATTAACCACAGGCAAATTGTAGAGACCCATTCCAGGAATTTCCATCAGCCTTGGCTCTGTCAGCAGCAATGAACTCTGGGACTCTAATATTAGCAATACCTTTTATATTTGTAGAGAAGTTTACAACTACAGACCAATTTTTTTTTCGGTCTTTTTGAGACAGGGTCTCCCTGTAGCCCCAGCTGTCATGGAACTCACTATGTGGACCAGGCTGGCCTTGAACTCACAGAGGTCCGCCTGCCTCTGCCTCCCAAGTGCTGGGATTAAAGGCGTGCACCACCACGCCCAGCCCAGACTAATATTTTTATTAGGTACTCTCTACCCTATCAATGAAGTAAGAAAGCAAAGATGCCCATTTTATGGATAAGCAAACGGAAGCTTGGAGAAGTAAAATGACCTGCCAAAAGCAACACAGCTAGTTGACCCCCATCTTTCTGCAAATGCAGTGCTCTCTCCAACATGCCATTTGCTGTCTCCTTTTCCAGCAGGAACAAGCACATTCCCTTCTTCCCAACTTTCACAGAACCCTAGTAGCCCTTCTCCTTTCTCACCATTACAGAGCTGATTTCTACCTATGGATGTTCTCTGAAGCAGTTAGACAATTGACAGCTGCTTTTCTCTCCTCATGAGCATGAGCTTGTTCTGTGTGCCCATAGCTACCATGGCTTCGATCCAGATCCATCCAAAGCCAAAAGCTCTCAGAGAATAAAGACCACCAGGCATAGAACATCTTTGTAGTGATTTGTGTGATAACAGTGGGTCAAGTGCTTGGGCAGAGTCTGGGACTCTGTGTCTGGCTCTAGCCAAGGTCTACTATGAGAATGATGGTTGTAGCAGCTGCCAGGCTGGTTGTATGATGGACAAGCAACCCCAACTCGCCAGGGGCATCTGTGCTTCCAAAGCCTGGGTGACATGACTCCACCCCAGTGAACACACACTGGGTGATTACCTCAACATTTCAGGCCAAAAGAGGGAGATTCCCCCCAGTGCTTCATGAGCTGCAGATCAGAGGGTTACACCTCAAGGGCAGTGCAGCTGTCTCCATATCAGAGAGGATGCCCAGATCTGCAGTGTCTGCAGGCAGAGCTCTCACATCATCTTTCTGACTCCCTGTTCTTCAGGTTGTCTCCCTCTGTGGGGTCGTAAGATCTTCTGCAATATGACTTCATCCTTTCTGATAGCTACTTTCCTTAGGGTTCTGCCCCTGCCTCACAAGCCTTTCCAAGACTCAGTCCAGCCATCTCAGGTGTTCTGCCCTCTAGGCTTCTTCAAATACTGTTCTAGCCTCTTGGAGGAATTTTCCTCCTCTTTGTTGATTTTTATCTGTTGACGATCATATAGAAGTGCCCTTCTCTTTAACCATTTCACCAGTGTCGATTCTTTGCCCTGAGAGCAGCGATCTTGTCTTACTTCTTTTACTTTTATTGCCTGTGAATTCTGGGCATCTAGTTTTAATAAACTTTAATAAAACTTTACCCTCATCAACTGTCTGGCACTGGGTGAACATAAATGTAAAGCAGCCCCAATTTTCATCCTCAAAAAGACCACAACCTTTTTTGGAAAACAGGACATAGATGTGTTTATCCAGCCTGAGGCTGGGAGGTAGTCTGGGGCTAGACAACAAAAGGCTGGAAGCACAGTAAGAGGGTTTGAGCTGAACTTTGCAGAAAGATGTGGGTCAACTAGCTGTGTTGCTTTTCACCAGTTCAGGCCTCAGCTTGCAAAATTGGAAGGTTTTATCAGTCATTTAAGAAAAAGTCCAGAGATGTCCTCAAACAACAATGTCTTAGGCTATAGCCTTGTTTTCTTCCTTCAAGTTACAAAGCCTCGGCTCCAGGCTTGGTCTGTCCCTGCCTCTGGGCTTCTGCACTTACAAGTCCCTTTGTCTGGGACACTCTCCCTCAGTCCTCACTAGGCCAACCTTCCATCACTCCCAGGTCATCCAAATATCTTCTCAGAGACGCCTCTCCTGACTCTTAGTGAGAATAGCTCCCTTGTGTCATCATTCTTGAAGTTTCTGCTGGTGTGTTTCTTCGCTTTTGTTTTGAATATTTCTCTCTTCCTCAGTCACCATATTTGTCTGCCTGGCAGATAACGCTCTCTATCCCTTAGATGAAGCATCCCCCAGGGCAAGATGCTTTATCTTCTTCACCACCATATCCCCAGCATTTGGAGTAGCACCTGTCACCTAATAGTCACTCCGTAAAGATGCATTACTTAAGGACGCATGCATGCATGAGTGAATAAGAGCTAGGATGGGCTTGACAGGAGTAGACTTGGCAGATGGACAGACACTGAAGGCAGAATACCAAGTGGACTCTTCAGCTGAATTAACAAGGGGTAGGGGCATGAATGGCCAGGATAACCGATCAAATGCTCTAGAGGGAGAAAGTGGCCAGTATAAAAGAGACCTTATGGCCTCAATGCCTAGGAAGACAATGGAAGCAAGAACACATAAATCCAAGTTGGTAGAAGATAGCTTCTTCTGACAAGCTATAACTCCATAACTCATTTTTTACTGATATTATGAGTCACACATCATAAAAAAAACAGCTTTTTTTATATGCAAAGAGGTTAGTCCACTGAAAACACTCTAACTTGTTTGATTTTGTTACTTATGACCTGCTAAGGTGAATTTGAGAACCATGGTAGCCATTTCTTATTTTGCACCTACTCTGTCTTATATTGTTCTAGCAGGTGACAGCACACACCTGTAATCCAAGCACTCAGATGCAAGAAGCAGGAGGAGCCAGAGTTCAAGGCCAGCATGAGTTTCATAGCAAGATGAAAAAAAAAGAAAAATAAAATACCTTGTCCTACACAATTCCGGAGAGGATTGTATTTTATCTTCAAAGCAACCCAGTACCTGAGGTTTTCTTACTGTCTTCATTGAACAGATGAGAAAACTGAGGCAGAGAAAGATCAGATAGCCAGGGAAGGCCCAGGAGTGAACAGACTGCACTGATGAATTCAAATCCAAGCACATACTAACTACCTCTCAGAAGCTTCATTAAACAAAATAGTCATTTTTACAACCATTGGTATAATTATTATACCAAAGTAAAAATGTAGTTCTCTTTAAAGCTAACCAAATCAAACCTGAAAAAACACTGTTTTGAGCAGCATACAAGACAAGATAAAAACCACAAAATTCAAATTAGATGGTACCAACACATTAAAATGAAAATCATTTGAGACGAAGAATACAAATATCAATTTAAAAAATAAAAATTTCCTGTGCTGGGTAGTTAGTCATCTAGGACAAAGAACGGCCAGGGCTTTTCTCTCACAGCTGGCCACAAGTTTCCAATCAGAAGTTCACCCTGATTCAGGGCAAAGCATGACCTGGTTGATCTTTCTTAGTACATCCAGTTTGCGCTGTGCAAACTCACCTGCAAGACAGATGTACGCTGTGCTTCAAAGCAGATAAGATGGCGTGAAAGTGCGATATGGGCTTGAAAATAAGGTCTAGTATTGAGTTTGAGCAACACCTATGCTAAAAGTATTTCAGTACACCTCAGTTTACCTGGCCTCCTTCCTCCAGGAAGCCCTCACACAGTTGTAGGGCCCTTGGGTGGTGAATGGATCTCATGCAGGGTACAGGGAGCAGGACTCCACTTCACAGAAAACTTCCATCTATCAAACTTCTGGTAGCCAAGAGCAGTCCCTGGATAATTATGGCTGCCTCATTATTGTGAAAGTTCAGGAAATGACCCTACATGTTCTGTCCTATTCCTGTGCTAAGAGACAAGACAGTGTTTCCATATTCTGAGAAGGTCAGAGACAAAGCACTGGGATCCTGTTCCTGGGCAGCTCTGAAAGGCACTTTGGAGAAAGATACTTTGGATGAACTATGACCTTCTGTTAGGTTAACTCACAGTCCTTGACTAAGTGGGCAAATGCCAGACAGTAGCTTGTATGGAGGACCTCAACACACTTGCTATGATTGACAGATCAAAGGCATGGGAGCTACTCGCTCTCTGACATCTTTCCCTGGGGAAAGGAGGCAGGGGCTCTGTCCCTCAGTGATGTTACAGCCAGGCTCCTTGGTGTCCCTTTTCTTGGGAGTTGGCCTTTTCCAAGCTATCCTACCCCCAGCTATCTTGTCAGCAAACATGATCTGTTTCCTTAACTTTGAGGCCAGGTCAAACATCCCAGAGCCCTGAGGCTGTGGAACAAGGAGAGCTTGTACTTCAGGCTCTGGATGAAAAAGGGTGGTAAGCTGCTCATATCAAGGTACATGGAAGCCTGATTTGACCTCAGGGTAGCTGCCCATAGACCATAACAAGATCCTTTATACTTAGAGTCAAAAGTGAGCAAGGAAACTTGCAAAGGTTCACTAGAAACACATGTGTACTCCAAGTGAACATCTAAGACCAAGAAAGGCACACAGAGGTTGCTCTTACTGATCTACCATCATTAGAGAAGGTGCTTGTACTGTAGCCTGCTATGGTGGCAGTGAGTTGGAATTAACGCAACAATGACAAAAATAAGCAATCGCATGCTCTCTTTCAGTCCCCTGTCTTTTTTTCCAAAACAACTCCCTCAATCTTATTTAAACATCAGTGCCAGAAGTCGTAGTTTCATAGAGGAAGTCCTGGAAAGACAGGAAATTCCCTCCAGATTTTCAAGTTCACAGAAAAAGTAACTCCCTAGAACTTAAACTTGTCCTTCAACACTTCCTCCTACCTATCTAAACCTTGATCAGGTACATCTAGGAGCACATCCACAGACAGAGATCCAAAACTTCCTCCTACCTATCTAAACCTTGATCAGGTACATCTAGGAGCACATCCACAGACAGAGATCAAAGAGTTTCCTACTGCCCACCTCTATGAGCCTCAGTTGCTTCCACCCCTGACTAAAATTGGATGTTCAGTCAGTCCCCGTGGGTCACATCTACAGGGAATGCAGACATCTTGCCAGCATGCAACGGCAGGAAAGGAAGGGTCAAAGCCAGCAACTCTTCCTCTCTGACTACCTTTGTGGCACCCACCTGTCAATGGCAATGGCCAGCAGGGCGTTGGTGGAGACGTAGAGAGAGACAGTGCGCAGGTAGTTGACAGAGGCACACAGAACATGCCCATGCTCCCAGGAGAGTTGGCGCACCACGTAGTAGTCCATCTCAAAGGGACAGCACACGATAGCCACCAAGAAGTCTGAGATGGCCAGGTTGGCAATGAGCAGGTTGGTGAGGTTGCGCAGTTTTCTGTAGCGAGCCAAGGCAGTGATAAAGATGAAGTTGCCAATGCCACACACCAGCATGATGCCCACCAAGGCCATGCCGATGACTATCTTGGCAGCAAAGAAAGTCCGAGAATTGGTCACATCCTCCTCTTCATCCAAGGGCATGTCATAGTCACCATAGCTTAAGGTGAATGGGAAGGAAGCAGTTTGGGCTCCATGGGGGTCCTGTACAGACAGGAAGTTGGTGGGTGTGTTGTTGGCATTCTCTCCCATGGCCTCCACAGTGATCTCCATCTAGGTGGGCATGAGCAACACTTCTGGGAACTGTCCCGGATCTCTCTCCGCTCTTCAGGCACTTGGCTCTCTTTCAAATAGTCAGAGCTTCCTTGCCAGCATTCATGGGGTGCAGTGTCTGAGCTCCATTCTAAACCTTTGAAAAACATGTAAACAATTGGTTACATGTTGGAGCAAACCTGGCTGAGTTTAAAAGCATCCTGAAACTTACACAGACCCATTAGCCACCTGCTCAAAGTGCACACAGGTGATGGGGTGAAAGAAAAGGACCAGTGAGAGAAAGCAAGAGAATGAAAACCACAAATTCACTCAGCTGGGGAAGGCTGGGGGGCTGTGGAGACAGGCTCCCACTCTATTTACTCCCACTCTACCGGAGACAGAAGTGCTGCACTCTTCCTTCAGGACCAAATCTGGCAGTGTGGGAGGTGGAAAAGAGAGAAGGCCTGCTCCATACCATGGTCTGTGTCTGACAGCCTGAGCTTTGCCTTTGTGGAACAGTCCCATTCTGTAGTAACAGAAGCTCCTTTTCAACATCTGGAAAGAAATGACTTGGATATCATGAGGTCCAGCAAAACACACCTTCAAATTCACAAAGCCCTTAATATGGAGCCCTCTACACAGAGTACTGAACACAGAGCCTTGAACATGGAGCCCTCTATGCAGAGTACTGAACACGGAGCCCTCTACACAGAGTACTGAACACAGAGTCTTGAACATGGAGCTCTCTACACAGAATACTGAACATGGAGCCTTGAACATGGAGCTCTCTAATAGCCATCTTCCCTTCTCCTCACCAAGCTTCCTGTTCACATATCAAAGTCTTCTGTGATCCTATAAACCTGCCATAGTATTGAACAAAGTCTGTCCTAGGCAGAGGTTGCTGGAGCAAAATCATAAGATGTCACTAACCTGGTGGGTTAGAAAGGGAACCTGAGAGCAAAAATTCCTTGGAGGATGGTGTTTCTTCAGGTTAATAGCTTAAACAAGCAAGGTTTCAACATCCTCCAAGCAAATCAATATTGTCTGTAAAGTGCAGAGCTCCTGGAGCAGCACCATTACACCCTGGAACCACAGGCGTTAGATCAGCACTCAGGTCTCTAAACGAGCTACACGGAAGTTGGGGGCGGGGAGCAAGGACAGGGACCTGACCAGAGACCAGCATCCCACATAGCAGGGCAGGAAGAAAGGATCTGCCAGCAGCAAAGTCTCCTGTCCCCTCCCAGACTTCTTCCTTCAGTCCTCCCAGAGCCTGAAGGCATCACTGCAGGGAACTGGGTGTAAGAGAGAGCTCTCAGAATGGAAGGCGATGGCCAAGCTTTATTTCCTGTAAAAGCAGACAGGAAGATGACCCCAAGACCCTCTGGAAACTTGTTGCCCCGTAGTAAAGTGCCAGGATTGAAATCTCTCTGCTCCCAGGAGGCTCAGCTTCTGCCCTGCTGCCTCTGACAGCTCCTCGGTGGGTTTTGCCCTTCTTTTTGCCCAGGTTGTACAACTCAGCTCTGCGCTCTGCCCTTCAGGTGAGAAGCAGAACCCAGAGCGGAGAGGCCAGAGGACTCTGCTGGGAGCCCTGGCAGGTCACTTCTGAGGGACACCCCTACAAGCATGCTGACAGCACAGCTCTAGGTCAGGATTTAAAGAAAGGATATCAAAATCGTCTACCGGAGAGTTAGAGTGAATGTTAGAGGCGAACTTGTCCAGCGGTCTTTCCTGGAACTGGATCCTCAACTCTACTGTCCTCTGGGTTGTTGGAGCTGCAGCCCCCGGAGTTCCTCTCCGGCTCCAGCTTTCTCTTTTAACCTGGCGAACCGGTTCGGTTCAGCATCTGCTCCCCGCTGGGGTTCTCGGCAGCCTCGGGACTGTAGAGACGGTTCCGTACCTGTGGACCGGGCGGGACCAGCCGCTCCTCTCGGAGCCCAGCAGCAGGGACAGGTGTCGGTCTGTCTTCAGGGGGCTTTCCCAGCTAGGAGGGCGGCTGCGCGGGCTCGGCAGTGGATGCCAGGAGCAGCTGCTGAAGTCACCCGCAGGCCCGCTCCGCGGGCCCCGCCCTCCGCCTGAGGTTCCCGCCCAGATTCCCAGTTCTCCCGAGTCTGCCTTTGAGTCCGCGGTCCCCGCCCCGCGCTCACCATCCCTGTCTCTGCGGTCCCTGCCCAGAGCTCAATGCCCATGTTTCCGCTGTCCCCGTCCGGCACTCGCTGTCTCTGCCCAGGGGACCCATGAGCTCCGGGTTGAGCTCCGGAGCTGGGGGACCACCGGGGTTGAGCCTGGTGAGGTGTTTGGAGCAGAGGGAGAAGCTCCCCAGAAGCCGGCCAGAGCAGCTCCGACTCTGAGGTCACCCCTCCCTCACCCCCACCCCCTGCAGCGAGCGGTCAGGCGGACACCTCGGGTTCACCTGTCAGGTCCTCCTCCCCTTGCTACCCTCACTGGGCATCTGGGACCAACCACTCAGACCTCGCCGCCTTGGTACCCCTCTGCTGCAGTCAGCTGAGCACTGTAACCCAGTTTCACCTGCTCTGTGTGACAGGCTCCAGGGGCTTTCTGGACAGTGAATGGAGAAAGGAAACTCTCACACCCATGTCTGTTCAAAATGACCAGAACTTCGAACATTGGTGTACACAAGTCTAAACTGTAAAGCAGAAATTTAGATATGTGTGCACCAGTGTTCACAGCATTGATAATATTTGTTACCAAAAGGCAGACATAACTCAAATGTCCATCAACTGATATATGAAACACAAACGTGTATGCTGGTACTTGTGGATACACTCAGCCTTAAATGTGAGTGAAAGAGAACAAACAACAAATCCTTGTATGTGCTGGTGACAATGGTGTGGTGGCTCTGGGAGACAGCTTTCCACAGTATCCAGTATTTCCACTCCTGAGTACTACCTTAAAATGGAATGAACACAGTCTCCAAGAAATGTTTGCATATCCTGCTCATAGCAGTAGGTGAAACACGAAAGCCACCTGTATTAAATATTTTCTTCATTGTTGTGACCAAACATCAGGCAAAAACAATTTAATAAAGCAAGGGTTTATTTAGGCTCCTGATTTAAGAAGGGACACAGAATATCGCCATAGGGAAGTCATGACACCAGGAGTGTTAGATGGCTGACCAACTTGCATCTTCAGTTAGGAAACAGAGAGAGATAGACATTGGTGCCCTACTTACTAGCTTTCTCCTTTCATTCAATTTGAGACCCCGGCCTGTGGGGTGGTGCCACCACATGCAGGGTGGGTCTCACCTCCTCAGTTAAACACTTCTGGAAACATCCTCACAGACATGCTCAGAGGTTTGTTTCTTAGGTGATTCTAAATCCCAGCAGGGTAATAATAAAGATTAACCATCACAAGACCACTCCTTATCAACTTGACACCCGATCATAACATCTTTAATTCATAATATTCCATGTCTGGTCCTCAAAGGTTCATAGCCTCAGAAAAAAAATGCCTTCGGTCCCACTTCAGAAGTCTCCATAGTCTTTAAGAGTCCCAATTCTGCTCAAAGTACAAATTCAGTCTCTTCTAAGGCTCAGGTGTTCACTGAGATTCCCAAATCTAGAGATACCTATAAGGTACAAAATGCACACAGAACACCAAGTCAACAGCACTAGAAAAGAAACTCCACACATCAGAACACTAAATGTGCAGAAGAAAGAAAAGATAGTGAAAGCTGTATAAGTTCAACTCAGACAAAGCCAGTCCCATCAGAATAACGGCTGACTTTTCAGTAGAGACTGTGAAAGCCAGAAGGGCTTGGACCAACATCCTACAAGTCATGAAAGAACAGATTCCAGCCCAAAGCACTGTCTCCAGCAAAATTATCAGTTGTAATCAAAGAAGAAAACTTTCCATGATAAGAATAGATTTAAGCAATTTATGTCCAGCTCTACAGAGAATACATGAAGACTAAACACTCTCAATAAGGCAGAAAGAATACCTAAGCAATTCCAGAGCAGTTAACTAAAAGATATCTAAGAAGAAAACACTACAACATCAAAATAACAGGAATGGATAGACATCGGTGTGGTGGTTTCAATGAGAATGTTCCCCACAGACTCCAAGTATTTTGATATTTTGTCCCCAGTTGATGGTGCTGTTTTTGGAAGTTTTAGGAAGTGTGGCTATCCTGGAAGAAGCACATCACTGAGGGTGGGTTTTGAGAGTTCTTAAGCCTTTCCAGATTTCCAGATGCTCTCTGCTTCCTGTGCCTGCCTGAAGATGTGATCGCTCAGTTTTCTGTGCTGGCCACCTCCTGCAGCCGTCCCTCCCCTTCCATTTTGGTCCCTTACCCCTGGAACCAGAAGCCCAAATGAACTCTTCTTTCTATAAGTTGCTTTGGTCATGATATTTTATCACAGCAGCAGCAAAGTAACTAATACAATTGGTCAATAATAACTCAATATTAATGGTTTCAGTTCCCCAATTAAAAAAAAAACACAAACTGATTGGATTAGAAAACAGGATTCATTGATTTGTTGCCTCCAAGAAAACATACCTCACTATTAATGATCAGCATCACCTTAGGGTAAAGGATGGAAAAATTTATTACAATCAAATGGAACTAAGACACAAGCAGGTATAGCTATTCTAATATCTGACAAAAGAGACTTCAAAGTAAAACTAATCAGAAGAAATAGAGGTTACTCCACACTCATTAAAGGAAAAATCCATCAAGAAGATATTATAAGTCTAAACATATACACACTAAATACAGGGACATCAAACTTCATTAAAAACAAAACAAAACAAAAACTCTATTAGATTTAAAAATCACACATTGAGTCCAATACAGTGATAGTGGGCAACTCCAATACCCACTGTCACCAAAAATGGGTCATCCAGACAAAAACTAAATAGGGAAACTCTGGAGTTAAACGGCATTATAAATCAAATGGACTGAACAGACATCTATAGAACATCCCATCTAAACGCCAAAGAATACATTTTCTCCTTAGCAGCCCATAGAACCTTTATTAACCACATATTAGGATATAAAGAAGTCTCCACAAATTTAGGAAAATTGAAATAACATTCTGTATTCTGTCTGATCACAAAGAAACAAAGCTAGATATTAACTACAATAGAAATGGGGGAAAGTGGGACTGGAGAGATGGCTCAGCAGTTAAGGGCACTGGCTGCTCTTGCAGAGGACCTGGTTTTGATTCCCAGCACCCACGTGGTGGCTAACAACCGCCTGTAACTACAGTTCCAGGGAGATCTGACATCATCTTCTTACCTTAACTTGCATGATACAGTGTGCTTACACACATGAAGGTAGTAAACTCATATACATAAAATATAAATAAGTAAAATAAAATAAATTTTAAAAAAGATAATCTTTTAAAAATATTTTGTTGAGTTTTTGTGCATTTCACATAATAAATCTTAATCAAATTTAGATCCCCTCTCCCCCCAAAACAGATAATCTTTAAAAGAAAAAGAAACGGAAAAAAGGAAAAACAACTCATAGACACTAAACACATTACTGAATAAAAATTTGATCAAGGGAGAAATTAAGAAGGAAATTAGGGGCTGGAGAGATGGCTCGGCAGTTAAGAGCACTGGCTGCTCTGGTAGAGGACCCAGGTTTGGCTCCCAGCACCCACATGGTGGCTTACAACCATCCTTAATTCCAGTTCCAGGTGAACCAACACCTTCTTTTGGCCTTTGTGGGCATTGCATGATACAGGTACATTTACATACATGCAGGCAAAACACTCATAAGCATAAAAGAAATCAAAAAGCTTTTTCAAAGGATGAAATTTAAAATTTCTACAAGTGAATGAAAATGAAAACACAACATACCCAAATCCATGGGCACAACGAAGGCAGTCCTGGGAGAAAAGTGTATGGTAAACGTTTACATCAGAAAATTAGAAATATCTCATATTAGTAACTTAATTATGCACTTGAAGGCCTTAGAAAACCAAGAACAAGAAACATCTAAAAACAAGTAGACAGGAGGACCAGACATGGTGAGGTTTGCCTTTAGTTCCAGCACTTAGGAGGCAGACGCAGGTGGATCTCTATGAGATTAAGGCCAGCCTGGTTCCATAGAGAGTTCCAGGCTAGTTGTGGGTATAGGGAGACCCTGTCTCAAAAAGATTTTTTAAAAAAATGAATTAAGCCCTTTTGGGGTTGAGAGATGGTTCATCAGTTAATAGCATTGGCCTCTGTTGCAGAGGACCAGAGTTTGGTTCCCGGCACCTGCATGGCAGCTATCCATAACTCTAGTTTCAAAGGATCAGACACCATCTTCTGACCTCTGTGGATATTGCACGACACAGGTGCACTTACATATATGCAGCAATACACATAAAACAAACTAAAAATAATTTAAAAAATTTTTTAAAAAGAGCAGGCAGGAAAAGATCAATAAAATCAAGGCCAAAATTAATGAAATAGAACCGAAGAAAACAATGCAAAGAATCAATGAAGCAAACAGTTGGTTCTTTGAAAATGTTAAGAAGATTGACAAAGTTTTAGCCAAATTAATCAAAAGAGAGAGAGAATCCAAATTAATAAACTTGGAGATGAAAAAAGAAACATTACAACAGACCCTGAGGAAATTAAGAAAACCATAAGGACATATACTTTAAAAAATCTATCTTTCAGGGCTGGAAAGATGGCTCAACAGTTAAGATCACTGGCTGCTCTTGTGGAGGACTTGGATTCAAATCTGAGCACCCACATGGTAGCTAACAACTGTCTGTAACTCCAGTTCCAGGGGATCTGATGCCCTCTTCTGGCCTCTGTGGGCATTGTACAACATGGGTGGGCTTATATACATGTAGACAAAATGCTCATATACATATTTTTTTAAAAAACTATATTCCATTAATTGGAAAGTCTAAAAGAAATGGATAAATTTCTAGATATGTAAGGCCTCTCAAAGTTAAATCAAAATGACATAATTTAAACAGACCCATAAAAGCCAATGAGATAGACACAGTGATTAAAAACCTCTCAACTAAAAGGAGCCCAGGACCAGATAGATTCAGTACAGA